CTTATTCTGTAGAGACCACGTGATGTGGTAGGTAAGACTTATTCTATAGAGACCCGGTGATGTGGTAGGTAAGACTTATTCTATAGAGACCCGGTGATGTGGTAGGTAAGACTTATTCTGTAGAGACCCTGTGATGTGGTAGGCAAGACTTATTCTATAGAGACCCTGTGATGTGGTAGGCAAGACTTATTCTATAGAGACCCGGTGATGTGGTAGGTAGACTTATAAGAGACTTGGTGATGTGGTACCAAGACTTATTCTGTAGAGACCTGTGTGGTATATAAGACTTATTCTGTAGAGACCATGTGATGTGGTAGGTAAGACTTATTCTATAGAGATCTGATGATGTGGTAGGTTTGACTTATTCTATAGAGACCTGGTAATGTAGAATACCTACCACATCACCTGGTCTCTATAGAATACCTACCACATCACCTGGTCTCTATAGAATACCTACCACATCACCTGGTCTCTATAGAATAAGTCTTATATACCACATCACCAGGTCTCTATAGAATAAGTCTTACCTACCACATCACCGGGTCTCTATAGAATAAGTCTTACCTACCACATCACCGGGTCTCTATAGAATAAGTCTTATATACCACATCACCAGGTCTCTATAGAATAAGTCTTACCTACCACATCACCAGGTCTTACCTACCACATCACCAGGTCTCTATAGAATAAGTCTTACCTACCACATCACAGGGTCTCTATAGAATAAGTCTTACCTACCACATCACAGGGTCTCTATAGAATAAGTCTTACCTACAACATCACTTGGTCTCTATAGAATAAGTCTTACCTACCACATCACTGGGTCTCTATCTACCACATCACCAGGTCTCTATAGAATAAGTCTTACCTACCACATCACCGGGTCTCTATAGAATAAGTCTTATATACCACATCACCAGGTCTCTATAGAATAAGTCTTACCTACCACATCACCGGGTCTCTATAGAATAAGTCTTACCTACCACATCACCGGGTCTCTATAGAATAAGTCTTACCTACCACATCACCGGGTCTCTATAGAATAAGTCTTATATACCACATCACTGGGTCTCTATAGAATAAGTCTTATATACCACATCACCAGGTCTCTATAGAATAAGTCTTATATACCACATCACCAGGTCTCTATAGAATAAGTCTTACCTACCACATCACAGGGTCTCTATAGAATAAGTCTTACCTACCACATCACCAGGTCTCTATAGAATAAGTCTTACCTACCACATCACTGGGTCTCTACAGAATAAGTCTTACCTACCACATCACTGGGTCTCTACAGAATAAGTCTTATATACCACATCACAGGGTCTCTATAGAATAAGTCTTACCTACCACATCACAGGGTCTCTATAGAATAAGTCTTATATACCACATCACCAGGTCTCTATAGAATAAGTCTTACCTACCACATCACTGGGTCTCTATAGAATAAGTCTTACCTACCACATCACTGGGTCTTTACAGAATAAGTCTTATATACCACATCACCTGGTCTCTATAGAATACCTACCACATCACGTGGTCTCTATAGAATAAGTCTTACCTACCAAAAACTGGAACTTTACACCCACTTCATATGTTCAGCTTGAAGTCGCTGACGTTAAGATCTAGAACTCAGAAGTAGTGAGCCGACTACATTGTGACTTGATGTGGTGTCATGCTACCATGACTACGTTATGTAATTTCAGTGTGATGGCACTATAAAAATTGCCCTTTAAGTGGCACATTCATCTGTTGGCATTATTTTCATTCATATGATATTTGACTGTGTAAGGTTGTTTTAACAGCGAAATGTATATCTGCTTTAGGACCGCTGTAGATGTTTGGTATTAAATACTTGACTGTCATGAAAACAGAGATTAAGTGACAGTTGAAAATTTGGAAACCTGAGTGGCTATTTTCATTGGCGTGAAAGCAGCATAACTTCATTGGCTTCTGTAGAAAGATCTGGGAATATTCAACAATGAAATTGAATTCAAAGACATTTCCCAGAGGGAGCTTTTGTAAAAAAAAAAAGTTCTCCTTACAAAGACAATTGTAGTAAATTTACTCTGGGTTCTAACAAATTATGAAATAGAAATGAAGTTTAGATTCTGTTCATCACTTACCTTCGGGAACATTTTTCCTTCACTTGTGCAAACTACAATTAATCAATGTACCTCATTATGTGAGGGTCAAGGGAGGTAGAAGGTGAGGTGAGGGAGTGAGATCATAATTGTGGGGGAGCATGGTTGTAGCCTCCATATCTTACCATGGTAATCCTGGTCCCTTGCTGTTACCATCCTTCCACCACCATCCTTCACCATCACATTCTTACATGTGTTGTCACCATCTCTCTTCCTTGCCTAGAAGTTGAACCTAAACGGCCACCATACGTAAATGTTAACTATGACACATTCCAACCATCAAATGCCTGAAAGCTGCATTTTTTTGCACTGAAATCTAAATTGCAATATTCTCACACTTTCTTTTGTGATCTCAAGGCATCAGATGCCATGAAGCTGTATGCTGCTATGGACAGGATGGAGCCTTCAGTAAGTTACAGGTCTGCTAGGTCATATTAAACATGCATAATAACTAGTATTTAAAAGGGGTTTTATTACACTGACATGGTATGTGATAAATGTAAAATACATCCTTAAGACAGTACGAAATAATATAAATTTCAATGTGACTTGACCTAAGTAGACCATTTCATCTTATTATTCAGTGTAAAAAAAAAGTTGTTTTCGAGTGATATATGTAGTACTGTTTTTCAAAACTGTGTAAAAGCAATTAGATATTTGTGTGTATTTGTGTCTCAGTAGTTGGAGATTTTGGCTGTCATTAGTGTTGTTGGATTAGTAGCTTTGACAGTATTTAAATTGTTCTATTCTGTAACGGATTTAATTTGCCAAATGCTAATTCTGTGATTGCTGTTCTTTTGTCAATTATCAATTAAATTTCCTTGCATCTCCTCAACTTCAACATTATATCTTATATATCAACCTTATAGTAAGAGTTTATATCTTGATGTAGATCCTGTGTGTTTGACTCTTGATATTTGGATAGAGCTTGGTATTGTCCATAAACAAATTTATGCAACACTCTATAAGCTCTGGAGCAATACAAGCTGTCAAAAGAAATAAAAAAAAAGTTGATGGTGAAGGACAAGTATCAATAATAAAACGTCCTCAATAAGAAAAGGCACAAATAGGTTGCTAACCTAATATATACAGAAAGTTTTGTGGAGTTGAGTGGAATGGTATCAAAGTTGTAGCCTGGAAAGGAAAGTAAACACTACTTTTGTGTTTTTTGGCTTTGTTTCCATGGTAAATAAAAAAATATATTAAAAAAGCAGAAATTTCATCAGTAGTGAAAGGCACAGCTAGAGGATTAGCTTAATATATGCAGCAAGTTTTGTGAAGTTGAGTTGAACGTTTTTGAAGCCCTTAAACACAGATGCATGCACGGACAGAGTCCAAATTAATATCCCCTGCGAATACATTTTCGAAACGTCACACTCTAATCTTCTACTGGTTATGTTATAAGATGAAGGTGACCGTGTAGTTATCGGAACGTCACACTCTAATCTTCTACTGGTTATGTTATAAGATGAAGGTGACCTAGTAGTCATTGAAACGTCACACTCTAATCTTCTACTGGTTATGTTATAAGATGAAGGTGACCTAGTAGTCATTGAAACGTCACACTCTAATCTTCTACTGGTTATGTTATAAGATGAAGGTGACCTAGTAGTCATTGAAACGTCACACTCTAATCTTCTACTGGTTATGTTATAAGATGAAGGTGACCTAGTAGTCATTGAAACGTCACACTCTAATCTTCTACTAGTTTTATTATAAGAACTAAGAACCTCTTTTTTATTGACATTACCAACCTGAAGAAAAAGTTCCTAAATAAGCACCATATGATGCAAATTTTTTTCAACCAAAATTGGCAAGTTCAAAAATTCAGGGCAATTCTTCAGCGAAAAAAAGCAAAAATAAGACAAAGGCAAAAAAAAAATATATATATATATATAACTTATTTTGTATTTATATATTGAAACTCATAAAATTATAACGGTATGTGCTTGATATGAATCAATGGGGAAAACTGTATTTAATTGAGTATACATAAAGACTATATCCTTATTACTAACTTTGTCAGGTGCTTGCAACACTTTATAAAAGCTTTTGATAAAATTGAAATAAACAGATCAACAAAAACTCAAACACAGTTTGTGATTTTTCTTTTACCATATCTATCCTGTAATAAGCCCAGGGGCTTAAATATAAACTATGCCACAGAGGGATTGGCTTATTGTAGGACAATGAAACACATTTTGTAGTACATTATATTTGTAAATATTTTAATACTGTAAAAGACATGGATGGCCCTATTACTGGAAAATTTGGGAATCTATGCAATTTTTCTAAAATGTGAACATTATTAAGGCAAGGGAAAATATGTCTAATATCTTGTGTATCAGAATCAGGATGGACTGTAATTTATAAAACAACAAAAGATGATTGTATTGAAGATGCTTTTAGCAATCACTTTAAAACTCCGTGGTTATTCTTAATTTTAGAATGCCAACAAAACACCTGACATTCTGTTGCTCAAATGATTATTATCAGCAGTAACTGACTTCTCTATTTTCGGCAATTCTGTCTTTTTGAAATGCAGAATTTATCTGCTCTAATCAACGGGTACAGTATTGATTGTCACGTTATTAGTTTGCATGAGAAAATTCAATTTCATATGAATTTTATATTACTCTCGTGAACATATAAAAATATATAAAATAATACCTGCTCACAACAGCAGATAACTCTGTATTATCAAAAGATAAACTACATATTTATCTTTCCTACTGGAAAATTGCTCTGAATTATGATATCACCATAGGTGATCAGAGCATATTTTTGTATCAATAAAATATCTAGGTAGTGTCCCACGTGTAAAGTTCTGTAATAACACAAGAACACAATATCTCTAAATGTATAATTGAAGTTTTATTTGAGAAAAAGCACCAATCTTTTGCCATCAAGCCCTACTCATTAATACATGTAAATAGCTTTAGTGATTCTGATTGTATGTGATCCTACAGAAATATAACAGTGTAACAGCACAGTAGCTAATGTATTTAACTTCAATGTATAAAACTGTCCAGTGTGACCAGCTACATAATTCCTTCAGCTATTGATAGGGACCATCAAAAGAGATGGGAGTGTCCAAATACTGGATACCTTCCTGTTTCCGCAACAAAAGTGCAATTTTATTACATTTTCGCAGTGAAATAGAAGGTTTTATAGAGAAAATATCTGATAATTTCACTCTAATGAAAAAGAACATTGAGAAAAATAACATGTTTTGATCTTTTCACTCATTTTTGACCAATCAAATAACTGCATACCAGTGAAAACATCAGTTACCCAGTATCCCAGAAAACAATGCTTCAGGAACAACAACTTGCATAGAAATGGTAGGAAACTCACTTTCCTTAAATGAATTAATCCTGATCAATCTGAATTTAACATTTTGTATAAAATTGTTACTTGCTGTTGTATAGTTTGAAATGTCTTAGATGTGAAGCTATTTGTTCTGCAGAGTAATAGTGATAAATCATTTCAGATATAGACAGAGAGATCAATTCAAACTGGTATCAATGAAAGGTGTGAATGTTTTTTAATGAAAAACAATTCTATCATATCCGAGATTGAAACTTCAAACATCAAATTTTCCATCCCACTTGATTAATATAAAACAGTTATTCACCAAGAAATGGGGAATATCCTATATCAATAACACTAAGCTGCTCTATCTCTTCCAATGTATTGATACTATCTTCAAATAGAGAAAGAAAATATCAGAAAATGTCAGAGAAATACCTTAGACTTCTTTAACACTGGGTCAATTGTGTATTGATTGTAGATTTTGTATGTAAGTGTGATGAGCAAACAACATTTTCAGAGCATCAATTTTACTACTGCACATGAGGGTAGGACTCGATGTGTGTTGAATACATCACACGGAAACAAGAGGACCAAAGATATTACTGGTCACCTGAATCATGATGCTGTAGTTCTCGTAACATGTCATAGATATAATCTTGTTGACAAAGTAAGATACCTCAATGTACATGTCATGTGCATAACATTAACTGCCAACCCATGCTAAGGCTTCTGACCAAGTTTGGATTTAAAGAAATTACACTCAAAATTATAATTTTCAAATATGTAAATTATTCCATCCATGAAGAATATTTAATAGAGTCTATACTGTCCTATCTGGGTATCGAGAAGATTTTTGAAATCTGAAATGTTTTTGACCCCTTTTGGCCCTGTCCATCAGGCCTTGGGGATCAGCAAGGATCAATATGCCCATACCATCAACCTGTCATCATATTACTAATAGTTCTAAACAAGTTTGAACAATTTTCAACAGAAAATACACAAATTATGCCCATGAATGTGATTTTGCTTTAGAACCTAAAATTAACATAACCTCCTCCTCAGGGAGAAATGCAAGACCCTGGCATAATGAAATTTTCTAATTTGGTAAAGCACCTTCAATCTATGAAGAGTATGTGATTCTACCATACATTCATATTGAGAGGATTTATGAAATTTAAAAAATTTGACCTCTTTTTGCCACACCCCCTCAGGCCCAGTTTGGTTCACCTTATGCCACAGAAGGAATATGCAAAATTTCAAGGAAATAATTTTGAGGGGTTTTCCAGCAGAAGTCACAAATGTAAAAAGTTCATAGATACACAACAGAGACTTTGTCTCAGGTGACCTAAAAGCAACATTGATTGATCGTAGAAAATCTAAATACATTTTTGAATTTGTACATTTGTCAAGTGGATTATAAGCACGATCTTCTTTCTGAAATATATCAATACTTAATACTCAAAATTAGGTTTTCAATCACAAATTGCACTTTTTCCATTATTAAATATATCAATACTTAATACTTAAAATTAGGTTGTTAATCACAAATTGCATGTTTTCCATTATCAAATCTATCTTCATATTTCTATAGAAACAGGGAAATCATGTCATCGTGACACTTCTTCAGCAAGTTTTATTTTAAAACTAAGCAGAGGATCCTCAACGCTTTTCAATATTGATCCAGATTTCTTCCTCTGGATGCGTGACCAGTCCATGAATAGGGTTGACCACTTGGTCATCCACTAATTTGACCTTAAATTTTCTCAGCAATGTTACAAGACAGACTGTTGCCTCTGCATAAGCAAACCGATAGCCTGGGCAAACACGTTTTCCAGCAAATCCAAACGGTTGAAATGTCATTGGCGGCCTGGTTTTCACGTTTTCTGGACTAAATCGGTCGGGATCGAATCTGAAATGGAAATTATTTAAAAATTGAGTCAATTTGATCCCTTTTGGCCATGCCCCTGAGGTTTTTATTCAACATTGGCCAGGAAAGGTTTCTGCAAAATTTCTTTGAAATTAATACAGTGATTTTTGAGAAAAGGAAAATGTTAAAAGTTTGTAGATGCACAATGCCAGACAAAAGATGATTACAATATGAGCTTTGTCTAAGGTGACCTAAAAACATAGCTCATTTTATGAAAATACATCCTTATTGGTAAAAAGAGAATTTTGAGCTACCATTTAAAACGACAGCATTTTCAATATATTGATTGTCAGTTATTTGGCTATTGGGACAAAAGTGGGTAACTTACTTGTTTGGGAGGGGCCAATATTTCTCATCCTTCAGCAATACTCCCAAGGCTTGAATCACAGGAGTCTGTAGAATAACACCAGATTTGGTTTGATAAATCAAATTAAAATCTGTTTTAAAAAAATCCTAAAAACCTACGGTCAGATGACCTAATTAAATCAATGAAGGTCAAGTTACTACTGCGGAAACATAAGACTGATTCAACAGAAATGGAAAACAATCAATTTTGGTTTTTAAAGAGGCAGACCAATAATACAATTACATTTTCTCATCCTATTTTTCTACCTCTGAATTAATACTGCATCTGGTAAAAATTGTACACAATGGTATAACAAATATACGTATTTTAGATCAGTGATAATATATCTGATCCCAGCCCAATATTTAAGAACAACGTCACAAAAACTTCTATGCTAGTTTAAATCCTTTCTTTGGAATCTTCTGTGAGAAAACCTCTGATTATGATGATATAAACAAACATAACATTTTCCAATTTTCTATCATTTTCAGTAAACCTTTAAGTTTGCTCATTGATTTTGAATACACAATTATACTTTAAATACTTAAATAGTTTAATGAAGCTCTTACATTCTTTGGAATCTTGTGCCCACCGAGCTCTGAATCAAAATCTTGAAATCGTGCAGCATGTGGAGCAACAACAGCGCATCTAAGTGTTTCATCCACAACCTGACGTATATACCTACAAAATAAACAAGGATACATGTTAAAGGCTTGACGTACATACCTACAAAATAAACAAGGATACATATTAAAGGCTTGACCATGACCTGTCGGAGCAGGATGTCATCATCATCAATCTTGTCACCTGGTGAAGGGAGATTTTGCTGTTCTGAAAGCAATTGGCTATGGTCATCATGGTAACAAGGTCCCAAGCAGTCTTTACCATACAGATGGCCTGTCTCAAATCTACAATCTGGGGGTCATCTATCTCCACACCGTCCAGGTAGTGTCAGACAAAGCTCTGTCTGTAGTCCTGATGATGTCCCTAGGCTGACCATGTGTTGGGAAGTAGGTGATACAGTCTAACATTAGTAAGGGTTCCCTGACTTACATGACTGGTGGTGTTGTTAGCTAGCAGTATCACCTTTCATCCTTGCTGCCTCATCTGTCTGTTAAAGTCCTTTCTCCATTCTTTGAAAAGTAGTGACATCATCCATTCTTTTTTGTGTTGATATCTCAAGTAGGTGCTGGGATCATGTCTCTAGGAAACAATGAGGTCGTTGTACCTTAGTAATGACAAATGGCTTGAGAGTGTGTTGACGGTTACAGCTGGTATCATCCCAATGTCAATGTCAGCACTGTCAGACTCTTATCAGTACATTTTTCATTTAATTCCATGTCATCCCCAAAAAACTTTGTAGCCATCCTTTCGATTGTCCGAAGTTCTGTATGTCGAGTTGGGTGCCTAATTCCTTGTCCTTGGTAATCATCATGTTGTCATTTAAAGTAGCCTTCCAGGCAGTCACATCTTGCTGATGTTTCAGGGTACAGGTACGGGTTAAGGTTTCAGGGTACAGGTACGGGGAGTCCGTGTCTGTAGTTAGGCTGGTCCACTTGTCCCTGGCATTTAAGATGTCTCTGACCATTAATTTGAAGAGCTTGGTCTTTATCTTGATGGTGGTGTGTGCATCTGCTGAATGGTCATCTTTGGTAAGTCCTTCTAAGTTGACATATGGTGGTGTTTAACACTGTTGGGGATCTCTAGCTGATGTCACTTGGGTGGTGGGTTACCCATGACTGAGGGATGATAGTCGTTAATATGAAATTTTGTTGCAATTAGTTGTTGGTGAGGAGTGATATTTTGAGGAAGAAGTCACCAAACGTGTAGAAGTTCTCGTAGTTGATTTAGATCCACCCCTTCATTTGGATAGTATAATCATGTAAACTGATAACAAATTTAATTCCCGTCTTTCTAAATGGGTCAATTAAAAACATTTGATATTGTTAATTGTAACACAAAACCACTTTACCTTAAAATCCAAGCTGTAAAATGTCAGCAACAACATAGGAATCTACCCAAGCTGTCTTGGTGATCACTTGACCTTCATGTTACACAATGCTTATTTAAATAACAGGTAAAGTGCTGTTATATACAAAAATACCCGCATTAATGTAACAGTTCACCAGTTCATGTGATAATGTCCCGCTATTTTCCTGATCATCAAGGTGATCAATACAAGCCAGATGTAAGTTTTTTTGACATATATTTATTTTCTCCATTCAAATATTCCGACTATTGGTGTCTGGATTATCAAAGGTCTACTGTACTTAAAAAATCAAGGTCAATACACACATCTAACTTTTGTACTTAAACTTATGACATCTGACTCTCATCAGAGATGTATTTTAATCATATTGCAGCTTAACCCTACTCTTATATTGAAGAAATCACTTACGGGAGAGCATCTAGGTTTGTGTGATCCACTTCCTGGTTCTTGAGTTCTTTTTTGATCTCCTGGAATGCTTTCTCTTGGAGCTCCGGGTGTGTGGCCAGAAAGTAAAATCCCCAGGTAAGCACTGTAATGACAATACAATCTCCTACAATTTTTTTTTACTGACTTTTCTTTTGTAGCATTGACTTTTAATATATCTGTATTGAATATTACAGAAGCCAAATCTAGCTTTAACTCAAATAATAAGTTGTTTTTTTGGGAACAAAAACATGTCTTCTTTGATTTGACAAGAAAATATTTCCTTTTCATATTTTAATCATGTCAATCTTAACATTTAACATAATGAATAATAATAAAAAAAAAAAAGACATTTAACCTTGAGATGAAGGTCAGATTGACCTATTTTCAGTGCACTACGCTGTCTGTGTTGAACCAAATGTTTAAACTTTCATCAAGATGTTTTTAACATTTAAAACGTTATTTCCATGACAGTAATGTACTAGAAATCCCACTTTAACTTTACATTTCACCTTGAGGTGAAGGTGTCAATGACCTAATTTCAGAACACTTTTTCCACCTGTTGGTGATGCATGTTTCATGTTTCATCAAGATATCTCCAGCAGTTCAAATACTATTGCACAGAAAAGAATGTACTGGAAGTTTAGCAATTTCAGTGCACTGCACTTAGTCTGAGAAAGACCTGTTATCTGTTTCAAATTTCTTCTAGCTAATTCTAACAAGCCTAGACAAGACAGTGTTTGGAGAGGAATGAGCTTTAGAATGTGAAAAACTATTATCTCTTCCCCCTACTGTAAACAGAGATGTAACAATTTATTCCAGTGACACAGATGACGACACCAGTAGGCAGATTATGTAACAAAAAGTGTCAATCATTTCACCGCAGACATTCACATTCAACAGACCTACCATTGCCTGTTGTATGGAAGCCTCCCACTGCTTGATTAGGGTGTCACTTGTGATGAGCTTGTCACCAGAGAGACAAACACAAACCCATTAATTGCTTGTTGTATGGAAGCCTCCCACTGCTGGATTAGGGTGTCACTTGTGACGACCTTGTCACCAGAGAGACAAACACAAACCCATTATTGCTTGTTGTATGGAAGCCTCCCACTGCTGGATTAGGGTGTCACTTGTTGACGAGCTCGTCACCAGAGAGACAAACACAAACCTACCATTGCCTGTTGTATGGAAGCCTCCCACTGCATATGTTAGGGCATCACTTGTAATAAGCTCGTCATCATTACCAGAGAGATTTATAATGAAATCTATTATCAGTTCCTGGCCCTGGATTGGTGGATTGTCACGACGTTCTTTTACAACTTTCTTGATAAGAGATGTTGCCTTTTCTAACCCTGTAAAAAGTACATAACCCAACAATTCTTCAAGTAACTAAAGTCAGATATTGAATTTGTATGCTGCTCTGTATACCTGGTAAGTTTTATTATCATATTTACATCGGAAGTTAGGTTAGACAATATTTTTATTCAATAATTCCATAATATTCACATAAACACATTACATTTGGAAGTGGAAAACTATCTTATCTCATTTCCATAAGTTATCATTAACAATTAACCATTTCATATTCTTACAATGAATTCTTAGCATTTGCCAACAACTTCATACATTCAATGATGTTGCAGTTTTCATTACCCAGGTATTTCTAAGTTCATAAAAAACAACCTAAGGACATTTTATTTTCTATGATACAACATTTCAAGTTCATAATTAGTAAAAGTAGGTTGGACGTTTAACTGGACTTCTAAAGTATCACATGACCTCAAAGTAACTGTCAATAATCCAAGCAGACATGAAAGCTCATTTGTTTATCTACCTTCTTCAAAGGCTTTTTCCCTTGGACTGCCCTTCTCAGGTTCATTTTCTGTCAGCCGTCTCTCCATTTCTGACCAGATCTGTGAATGTTTATAAATCTTTCTGCAATCATTCACAGATTTGTATCACTTGTTCATGATTTCTCTGTCACACCTAAGGTATAATAGATAGCAATTGAACGATATCATGATTTTATATAGTATAAACATTTTCTAGCAAATTTTCAGGATAAAATAACATCACAAGATGAAACTGATCGTCATTTTCTCAATTTTTTTCCTTAGAATTTTTTTGACATTGTGAATTTGAAACTACTGAAAAAAACTATATTTAAAGTAAAGACACCTGGGATCTGGTCTAAACTTACAACATCATAGCAGTGCTGAAACTCCAGGATATCTTTGTCATTAGAAAATGTCTTTCCAAACATTGTGATGAGTGAAATCTTGAGGGCATATGCAAACATATGGATGGACAGTGGAACATGTTCTTCCTTCACCAGTGATGACCATTTCTTAGCAAGGTCATCAGCCACCTAAACCATGGAAAAAATCCTTTAAACATCTACATCATATGATGTCTGAACAGAATCAGTTACATTTGAAAGTGATTAATAAAAGAAATCTGAAACATCGGTAAGATAAGAATGTACTTACACCAATGTATATAAATATATAGTATTTATCAATAGTTGAAAAAACTCTCCTTAAATGATAATAATGATGACCTTGACCTTTGGACCCAGAAACAAATACTCATCCAAAGTATAAACTGTCAAAGTTGACTTTTGCAAATGGTTTTATCAAAATTCCATTAAAAACAAGAGGCCCATGGGTCTTCAGGGTCATTAGACTATAAAGTGAAAAACAACAGGCCCATGGGCCTTCAGGGTCACCTGACTATAAAGTGAAAAACAACAGGCCCACGGGCCTTCAGGGTCACCTGACTATAAAGTGAAAAACAACAGGCCCACGGGTCTTCAGGGTCATCTGACTATAAAGACCTATATATGATATAACAACTATAGTAGTGGTTATAGAAAACAGTTACTAAGTGATAAAGCTCAGACCTATAGTATTTTGATAGTAATGACAAACAAGAGGCCCAATGTGCCTGAACCAATCACCTGTTCTAAGCTTACACAGAAAACTTCATTAGTTCATAAAGTCAATTTCTGAAAACTTTAAATTGTATTTCCCAAACATGCCACTTTACAATTACCATGAACCTGAAGCTATTGCTTGTTGAAAGGTACGATTTAAAATTCTCAACACATTTAATTAGAGTGACCTCAAAAGTGCATCAGAGTCATTAATATAAATGAACTTGGTAATCTTTTATCAAATTATGCTAAAGAACATGTCAATAGCCTGGTTTTTTTGGATATTGAAAAGAAATTGTTGAAAGATTTTCAACATATTTGACCCCTGTGACTTTAAAAGTGGGTCAAGCTAATTGATTTGATGACACTTGGTAGCCTCGATATAAGCCGATTCAAAATGCAATAGTAATATTTTTCTGGAGGATTCACATGCTGGTATGATTCATTTCATGACTACAAACTATATATATCTATCAGTCTCGGTTGAGTAGTTCTTACATCTTGGTATGTTTGGTAGTAACACTTTATGGTGTCGTGGGAGAAAGCTTTATCATACACATTCCGTCTTGTTCTTCCATCTGACTTGTTAGCAAATTGAATCGACTTTGGACCAATCAGTGGCTCAAACATTTTGTACATACTTGCTGGAAAAAGAGAAAGCTTGTTATTATATTAATATGTATTAACATACAAACCAAAAATATTTTTAACATACTAATGAATATTTCAGATAATCTCCATGGTGACTAAAGTGTCTATGAAAATGTCCTACCATAATAATGACAGGAATATACTGTAGCATGTCCAAATCCGAATTAAAAAATCTGACCAATAAACTGTCACCAAGAGATAATACAGGACAGTCAAATGAATATAAATATGTATTACCTTAACCTTACCATTTTATGAAATCCATGGATATAGTCGAAAATAGCTATCTAATGCTGTGATATTAGGATTCAATAAGTATGAGCCATGCATAATTTTCACATAAAAATCAGAAGTTGCCTCACGAGGTCTATCAAAAACTCCCTGGTGTTCTTTAAAGAGTTCTGGTGATGCAATGCTGACAATATATTCTCGCCCAATCCAGAATGACACTATGGAACCAAACTGCCTATGTAGGTCCAATAAAAACTCATGAAGACTTCCAGCTCGCTTGATGTCCGACACATTTCCATCTCTACAAAAATTTGAGAAAACTTTGAATAACTGACTGTAAGATAACATATAAGTTACACTTGAGTTTATCATCAGATGTATTTACATTATACAGGTTTTACTCCTGATATCATAAACACATTTCTTTTCATTTATTCTATATGCTACAGCACGGGTAGTGACCTCCATTTTTGATAAAGAAGATTATACAGTACATGATTTTGACATTGAAACTTGAACAAGAGATCCCAGAGGGATCTTGGCGCCCACCATTTGAGGATCTGTTTTCAGTTCTTGAAGATTTGTTTATTTTTGTTTGTTTGTTACAGGTGTTGTAAATGTTCATGAACTGGTCTTCATTAAATGTACTCAATGATGGCACAAGATATTTTTATTAAGCACCTATTAGCAAATATCATTTGAAAAAGATCCCAAAGTATTATTAGATAGCAGTCAGTTACAGGTGGATAATGGACAATATGCTTGTGCTGTATTACTGTCGACATCCAAGATGGCTGCCTGTGGGCCACCTTGATTTTAAATCAGTCAGAAAAAGGTACAATGCACAACTAGGGATTAAGGGAAACCAATATCTATGAAATATCAGAAGGATCCATCCAGTACTTCCTCAGATATAGCAGTAACAAGATTTTACTCTCAAAATCCAAGATGGCTGCCTGTCAGCCATCTTGATTTTGGATCAGTCCAAAAAGGTATAATGCACAACTTGGAACCAAAGGGAACCTGCATATGAAATTTGAGAAAGATCCATCCAGTACTTTCCAAGAAATAGCAGTAACAAACTTTTACATTCAAAATCCAAGATGGCCACCTGTCTGCCATCTTGAATTCGAATCAGTCCAAAAAAAGGTACAATGCACAAGTAGGGACCAAGGGGAAACTGCATATGAAATTTGAGTAAGGTCCATCCAGTACTTTCCAAGAAATAGCAGTAACAAACTTTTACATTCAAAATCCAAGATGGCCACCTGTCTGCCATCTTGAATTCGAATCAGTCCAAAAAAAGGTACAATGCACAAGTAGGGACCAAGGGGAAACTGCATATGAAATTTGAGTAAGATCCATCCAGTACTTTCCAAGAAATAGCAGTAACAAACTTTTACTTCCAAAATCCAAGATGGCTGCCTGTCGGCCATCTTGAATTCGAATCAGTCCAAAAAAGGTACAATGCACAACTACGGACCAAGGGGAAACTGCATATGGAATTTGAGAAAGATCTATCCAGAACTTTCCAAGAAATAGCGGTAACAAGAATTGTTTACGGACGGACGGACCACGGACGCAGGGCGATTTGAATAACCCACCATCTATTAGATGGTGGGCTAATAAAAATGAACTCATCAGAAATAAGTATATAGCTATACCTATTTGTAAACAAAACTGATAAATACATGTAGGGCAAATATAGAGAAAGTGCCAGTCACTGTCCTCTTCATATTATACAATTCAAATTAGTAACTTACTCTTGTGTAGTAGGTTCTAGTCCTGGAATGGTGCTTGGCTTAGCAGAACCCTGTAATAACAAGTCCAATAAGTGTGTATAATGTTGTCACATTTTGCACCTAAGACCTTAATCATAAATATCTAGCTGTCAATTCCATGAAGATGTCCATCTATCTAGTGCTGTATTCCAATTTTTACCCCTCCAAGGACACAGCAGTTCGCCCACATCCATCCTTTGGTTTTTCCTCCACTAACAGCATTATAATAACATAGCTATACAGTTTACTTTCTTTTTAACATCATCATACATAACCTTAAATGAATTAAGTGTTTATCTAAAATGTACCTTTTAGTAAATGTGATATTACATTTGATAAATATAATTATCACATATCTTTTTTAAACATCACCATGACCAATGATTTTGTTGTGATACAGTCGCAACTCATTATCTGAAAGTTGACGGGACCATGTCAAAATTTAGAACCAAGAATGTCTGAACATTTTTTTATTGTGTGTGTGTATTTTCATTTATATGTGGAGTTTTCCTTCTATTTCAATTACCTGCATGAGATATGGTGCCATGGTGACACTAAGGTCAAAAATAGTGTGACAGGATGGTAGACCAAAAAATACACCAAATGATAACAATGTACTGTAGTCAGGAACGAGAGGGGCCACAGACTCGCCTACCTATGACCCAGTTTTAAACAAAGCATAGCCAAATTGTCCACAATACACTGTTTCCATCTGGTGTATTTTTTGGTCTAAACTGGTAATCTCCTTACCATCTCATCACATTATTTTCAACCTTAGAAAATGTTACAAAACATTAACAGTTTGTATGACAAATTCCTTTGGTACAAATGTATGATGATGTAATATACAATTTGTATCATTCATGTGATGATGGCTAGGCCATATGTAGGTTAAGAAGAGCTGATAAGAATTAACTACATAAAACGGGGCGTTTAAAGTAAGTGACTATATTCACAAACAAAAAGTCAAATAGATGTTGTCTAATTTGTTTCAACGTTCAATCTAAAGTATTTTCTGACAGAAGGTTTCAGCGTTATCACTGACAAGGGTACATGACAATACTGAATTGTGGCAAGGTTTATCATTAGGAATAAAAATTAGACAACAGATTTTAGATTTTTTGTTTGCAACGCAGCTTATATTACCGAAATATATACATGTATCTTTTCATATCCTCCTATCTTGTGAACAGGTCAATGAGAACAATGTAATGTTGACCAATTACTGTTATAAAACACCTGATTACACGATTAAAATCGGAGGTGGCGTTAGAGTAATAACATGGGATTGTAGAGTACTTACCGTCCTGCACCGGAAAAAAATCGCTAAGTAAGTACAACAAGTTATTTGTAAGCAGATGCAATATCTCGCAGCGTGATGTTGAAGTTCGAGTGTCTAAAATGGGATGAGTGCTACTTATCCGCATCTTTCTGTCACTTATGAGCATAGCTGATTTAGTTCATAACTTACCGGGTAGAGATATATCAACAGCCCGAGCAATGACACCAGGAAAGTCACAGCAAATATTGCGAAGTCCAACATGATTATCAGCTGCAAACTGCAAGTTGCACCAAGGTGGCGAAATCTCGGTCTTTTATAAGCTTGAATGTGTGGCACAGAGCATTCGGAACATCTCGCCTCGATTAAACAACAAGAAGCAAAGTGAGATCGATTACACAACAAGAAGCAATGTGAGATCCGGAACCCCTACTTATTAGTCAGCTTTTGTATTTTCTGGTGTTTTTTTTTAAGTGTGTTCGTGTCAATGTATTATTCATTTCTTTAAAGATATCCCGACTCACACAGCTGAAAACTATCTCCATGTAGGTCTCCATGTAGTGTTAATCAACATTACTTCAAAAACGGAACTTTGTACTCCCATGAACAAAAAAATATATAGATCATGTGTGCATGATAATTTTGAATGTGCTTTAAAAAATTATGATGTATTACTGACATGTACAACTTTATCGAAATCTGAGACCTATTACTGCCTATAGTGATTGTACATGTGTAGTGTAGTGATTGTAAATGTGTAGTGTAGTGATTGTAAATGTGTAGTATGGTGATTGTACATGTGTAGTATAGTGATTGTACATGTGTAGTATGGTGATTGTACATGTGTAATATAGTGATTGTACATGTGTAGTATAGTGATTGTACCTGTGTAGTATAGTGATTGTACATGTGTGGTATGGTGATTGTACATGTGTAGTATAGTGACTGTACATGTGTAGTATAGTGATTGTACATGTGTAGTATGGTGATTGTACATGTAGTATAGTGATTGGTATAGTGATTGTACATGTGTAGTATAGTGATTGTAAATGTGTAGTATGGTGATTCTACATGTGTAGTATGGTGATTGTACATGTGTAGTATAGTGATTGTACATGTAGTATAGTGATTGTATGTGTAGTATAGTGATTGTACATGTGTAGTATAGTGATTGTAAATGTGTAGTATGGTGATTGTACATGTGTATATGGTGATTGTACATGTGTAGTATAGTGATTGTACATGTGTAGTATAGTGATTGGTATAGTGATTGTACATGTGTAGTATAGTGATTGTACATGTGTAGTATGGTGATTGTACATGTGTAGTATGGTGATTGTACATGTGTAGTATAGTGATTGTACATGTGTAGTATGGTGATTGTACATGTGTAGTATGGTGATTGTACATGTGTAGTATATTGATTGTACATGTGTAGTATAGTGATTGTACATGTGTAGTATAGTGATTGTACATGTAGTATAGTGATTGTATGTGTAGTATAGTGATTGTACATGTGTAGTATAGTGATTGTAAATGTGTAGTATGGTGATTGTACATGTGTAGTATGGTGATTGTACATGTGTAGTATAGTGATTGTACATGTGTAGTATGGTGATTGTACATGTGTAGTATGGTGATTCTACATGTGTAGTATAGTGATTGTACATGTGTAGTATAGTGATTGTAAATGTGTAGTATAGTGATTGTACATGTGTAGTATAGTGATTGTACATGTGTAGTATGGTGATTCTACATGTGTAGTATAGTGATTGTACATGTGTAGTATAGTGATTGTAAATGTGTAGTATAGTGATTGTACATGTGTAGTATAGTGATTGTACATGTGTAGTATGGTGATTCTACATGTGTAGTATAGTGATTGTACATGTGTAGTATAGTGATTGTACATGTACGGTGATTGTACATGTGTAGTCGAGTATATTTAGACCTTTTATTTGATATTTGAAGATTTTGTGTTATGAATGGCCATGTTCCATATATTTGAGGACAAAGTATAATCAGTCTAATATTGATGGCAGGCAAAGACCTAAAGTTACCTGAAGGACTGTTTTCCTTGATATCTGTTTTGTGCAAATGCTTTGTGGATATTTTAAACTGTTACATTTATTCAAATGTCAAGAGAGCATGATCTCCAAGCAGAAAAAAACGACTAGTTTCAGAACAAAATGATGTTGCCTTAATCATTATGTTTTATACTATTTTCAACAACTGGAAAATACAGAACAATCAGCATATGTTTACTTAGTTAAAAGCTTTTGATAGATGTGAACTCATCTGTGGATATAAATGGAACACTTTGGTATCCATGGCAATATCCTGTCAAGTGTGAAAAACAGATTTACAGAAGCTTTTGATCTGAAGGAGTGAAACAGCCTTGACTGAAAAGTCTCACAGATGTTTTTTGCTTTATTTATAGAATGGTCAAGGTCAAGGAGGTGAAAGTGTCTGTCCTCCTGAATGTAGATATAGTGTTGATTACATGTGATGAAGGTTCAAAATAACAAATGTTGCAATAGCTTTATAACTGAAGTAAAACTTTGGTATGTGTTACACTTCAATCAAGAGAAAACAAATATTGTACATTTTAGAAACCCATCTGTACCTCTCACAAATTATAATTAGTGGTAATGGACTTATATAAATTACTTAACTTTAAACATTTAGGTTTATGGTTCCAAGAATTTTTTGCTCAAAGGGCCTAGTGAGCTTATGCCATAGCGCGGCATCCGTCGTCCATCCGTCCGTCATCTGTCCATCCTGCGTCCGTCAACTTTTCATATAAACAACTTCTTCTGAAATACCGAAAGGCGTAGAGTTAAAATGTTTGGCTGGAAGGTTCCTCTGATGAAGCCCAACAAAGTTTACAAAAAGAAATGACCTTGACCCATATTCAAGGTCACACAGGTCAAATGTGTTAAAACCTTTACACAACTTCTTCCAAAATACCGGAAGGCCTAGAATCATTATATTTGGCTGGAAGGTTCCTTTTATGAAGCTCAGCAATTATTGCGAAAAGAAATGACCTTGACCCATATTCAAGGTCACAGAGGTCAAATGTGTTAAAATCTTTAAACGACTTCTTTCAAAATACCAAAAGGCATAGAATCATTATATTTGGCTGGAAGGTTCCTTTTATAAAGCTAAACAAAGATTACGAAAAGAAATGACCTTGACCCTTATTCAAGGTCACAGAGGTCACATGAGTTAAAACCTTTAAACGACTTCTTTCAAAAACCAGAAATCTTTTTATTTGACCTTGACTTTGCAAAAAGAAATGACATATATTCAAGGTCACAGAGGTCAAATGTGTTAAAACCTTAAAACGACTTCTTCCCAAATACCGGAAGGCCTAGAATCATTATATTTGGCCAGTATGTTCCTTTTATGAAGTCCTAGAAAGTTTGCAAACAGAAATGACCTTGCTCCATATTCAAAGTCACAGGGGTCAAATGTTTTAAACCTTTAAATTACATTTTCTGATGATCCAAAACATCTACGATAGTGATATTATTCCAAAATAGGTTCTCAATGATGCCCGGTAATATTTGAGAACAGAAATGACCTTGACCCATATTCAAGGTCACAACAGTCAAATTTGTTAAACCTTTGAACAACTTCTGATTAAGCTAAAGGCTTAGGATCATAATATTTGTCCAAAAGGTTCCCTTAATGGTGCCCACATAGTGTGTGAAAAATATAGCTTGACCAAAAAATGATATTTAAGTCATTGGGGTTAGATTTGGTAAAATAGTTAATCAACTTCTTCTGATTAACCAAAAACCCATCATATTTGGCCATTAAAGGCTTATATACAAATGACTAATTTTGGACTACTAAGGGACAGAACTCATATGGAGTAATTTGTCATATTGCTTTAAGCATCTACTGTGGAACATATGCACAGATATAGTACTGTTGGTCATAACGATCCAGGTGAGCGATACAGTTTGCTGTTCTGAAACTGTGTAAGTCTGCAAGTAGAGCAGTGTCAGCTCAAGTTATTCAAAATATGTACATGATGGAGAAATATGTTACAATGTTAATTATTATAAACCTCTCTGGTGGAGTTAATCTTATTTTATGGTGGTGGAATTTGGGGATTTATTTAACACAGAGAAATTACCATAGTTCAAAATAAGGCCTTCAGATATTTTCTTCAAGCTGCTAGAAATAGCATGTGATTTTGATTTTTTTGGATGATATGAGGTGGAAACCCTTCGTTGAGATTGCCATATTTTGCCATTGAAATGACATGACACTTTTCCACGAGCATTTGGACATTAGTTCCATAATATGCCATGGGGTAAGGACTTACTCGAAAGCCAGTCTACCTGGTAAAAATATCGCATGAAGAAATGCTAATTCAATAATTTTTCGAGTCAAAGGATCGAGTGATTGTCTTTACAGGATATCCAATATATCATCAGGACATCAATTATAAAAAAAACGAAATCTGTATAAAAATCATATTTTTATTTTCCAAACTCATTAAGACCATTTAAAATACATGTGACCTGGAATCTGCAGTGTGTAAACTAGAAACAAGATGCTGATGCAGGACTTAAGTTATACAGACACATAGGCTTGTGTAATCAGCTTTAACATTGATACAGCTGGGAAACATCAACCACAAAATAAGTAAACATTGAAAGTCATTTATACAGGTGTGAAACCCCAACTACACTGTCCTCAAATATTGAAAGTCATTTATACAGGTGTGAAACCTCAACTACACCGTCCTCAAATATTGAAAGTCATTTATACAGGTGTGAAACCTCAACTACATTGTACTCAAATATTGAAAATCAACACCAGCTATTTTGTGTTGAGAAAATGAATGCTGACAAATATTTAAAGAAAGTTATTTTTTTCCAGCATAATAAGATGCACTATTGTCTAATAAACCATGATGATTTTTTTCCTACAGCATATGCTCTACAGATAAGGAGCTGTGTTAGTTTTCTATGAAATTCTGATTATTTGCCAACATGAACAAAATGGTTTAGTATTCTATGTAAAAGTTGACCTTTTTACATAAGATGACGATCTACATTACTTACTAAATCTGGCCCCAGACTTTCTTATCTGAAGAAAATACCATTTCTTATCCAGAATCACTAGATACAAGTACTTAAAGCTGATGACTTCCTGGTCTCAACTTAATGAAATTTCATGTAAATAAATTTAACATAAATCTTGTGGCTTAAATGAAATATACCACAAAAATTGTTCAACAGTTGTATTGTTT